CAGTAACTAAAATATAAGATACATGGCTAAGACACCCAGAGACAAATAAAGATAATAAATAAAATAAAATCAGTTTTCATTATTAAACAAATGCCATTTCCATTTCTAATCTAAACAAATGCTGATCTCCTCTACTAGCGGTAGTATGAAAATTCTTGAGTTAGTTTTAAGTGGGAGTGCTACTACATGAATTTGTCTTCCATGTACCGGGGTCTATTCTCTCCAGTTATATCCCCTACATGTTAAAGCCTACATCATATATGGTCTGGCACGATTCAGATTCTGACTACCTAAGACGACCCCACCCCACAAACCCAACCCACCCGTATGATCGAGAGGAATATTGGGGTATTTTAAACCATCATCACCATCACGATGCCTGCTCAGTAAACTCTGGCGCGTTAGTGGTTCACGATTCTTTAAGTTTACTTAGTTAAATACATTAGACACACAAGATTTACATTAAAATATAATATTGATATAATCAAAGCAGAATAGGTTCACTTACCTGTTTAAATTATTTCCTTTTGCAGGTGAAATGCGTAAGTTTCAGTGAGGATTAAACTAGTCTCGCTTTCAATTGACCTATATTTCTTCAATGCTGTTACTTCTTTCGTTTATCCTCCCTTTGCAATCTTTGAGCTTTGTCTGTACAGCTTTGTCTGTACGAATTTATCTAGGAAAGAGATAGTCAGAACATGTAGCATGTAGCAGTTAGTACTAAGAACAAAAATATCATTCAGTCAGAAAATTTTATCAACCCATTGCCTAAATATATGTAGAACTTTATGGTAGACAACAATCGACGGAACACCGTAAACATCCATGGGCGTGGATTTGTCAACAAAGGTGGTTAAACATTGACAGAACGGCTAAACTCTAAATGTTTCACTTTAATAAAAATCATTACTTAAAAAATATAATAAAAAAGAAAGAAAAATGACTTCTCACCTGTGCTTACCTTAATCTTAATGACGACATGTCATTAGACAAATGCTTTTATAATTTAAGGGTCCCCGCTTTAAATCTGACGTGTATCTACATGTACAAGTATACATTAAGTGCACATGACGATGACGCATTTAATAATTTTAAAACTGACAGAAGACAGGGTAAGTTTGCTATTCTAAAGTGACGTTTAAATTACAATTCTCTCCTTCAAGATTACCCTAGCTTTAGTCTACGTGAGGCCCTGCAGATCCCCGCTAGATGTTTCTATAGGGAGTTCATTTCCACATTTACACAGCATGTAGGCTAAATCTTTTATATGTCACTTCTTGAAGAACATTTGCAGAATTTCGCTTGAACGAGGCACACTAAGAGAAAAAGAGTAATAAAGTTTTTGATATGTCATTCATATATATAATATATAAATATCTGCATTGAACCATTATTATTATTATTATTATTATTATTATTATTATTATTATTATTATAACAATTAATTACAAAATGCAACACCCCAGTTAATTTTTAAATATATCTACATATTTAATCTCTATATTTTAAGGAAACGTAAGCTATAGTTAGATGACGACATTCCACATCCTGGTTTCAATCTAGTGAGCCAAATTAAGCCTACGTGTACTTTGTAGCACTGAAAAACACATTTATATCTAATTTATATTTAATTAGTTCATTTTAGGTCCGGGAGGACTAAATGTTCCTAGAGAAGTTTTAGGTTAGCTTATTTTATTTATTTACTTATTTATTTATTTATTTATCATTTCATAGAAAGATTGTTAATTATTTCTGCCCATGGGTTGACCACTTGCTAAATGAAAATCTCTCCCGTGTACTTAATTCGTCTAAAGAAAGGATATTTTGCACATTTTGCATGAAGACCTTCGCACGTGACGTACATGCAAAACATTCTGCATTCTGATGTTCATTTTGTGACGTGACTCTTAACCAGTGTAAAATTGTTTTAAAAGTTTTCCAGATTTGAATTATCGGTGATTAAACACTTACAAAGTTTAATTTGAAATGTGTGGATATACGTACATGTAGATTCTCGATTTGAGTGCGTACTGTAACTTTTTGGTTTTCTTTTTTCTTATCTTTTCTTTTTTTCTCCTTCTAATCATAATATTCATTTCTGTTGATGTCATGTGGATGATACAGTGGCGGATTTAGAGGGGGCGTCAGGGGGGTCCTGACCCCCCCCCCCCCCTCCTTCGATTTCTGGTCCCTTGAAATCAGAATATTGACCAGCTGATCTTATCATAGTACTAAACCGCACCAAATGGTACCGTTCGCCCTCTAAAATACCAATGCTTTTTTCGAATCACGCTGAAGGGCCCCGAACCCCACGCCAAGTGGGGCGGGGGGGGGGGGCGATTTCGCAACCTCCGCCCTCCCTTCAAATAATCCTGGATCCGCCCTTGATGCACACGAGTCTGCAACAACTTGTCGTGATTATATATATATATATATATATTATTGCCTCACTGATTCACGGATATCATTGCTGCAGCTACAGGTATGATAGGCTGGGGAGAAGAAGAGATTTGCTTCGAATTCTTGGCCAATTTCACTGATAATGCGGTATCCATATGGATATATACAGCATTTCTCATCGCATCAGTTTACATTAAGTTTATCTGATTGCTATTCTTATTCTTATAAAACTGGTTGAAAGGCCTTATCAAAGGAAAGTTTGCAATTTTATCCCCAGTGTATATTTTGGAATTTTCCTGCCAAACCGAATTTTCCTCGAAATATTTAAGGAAACGAATTTCTGCGATTCACGATTCATTGTTCGACCCATCCCTGTCAAAATAATACAGTTCCTTACAACCGGCCAGTCAGTTAGACCAAAATATGCATTTTTCAAAAGAAAAGGATATGAATTTTGAGATGAGAAGCACTACTTTCCAATCCCGCTCAGAATCATCGCTATCACACCGTGTAGGCCTACTAGGCAAGAGCGGTGTAGCGACTGATACTTCGAAGCGCGTACTGACGCACACCTTGAAAACGGGTAGTGTGGTCCGATCTACCGGCGAATTCGGGATTATTTGGTGCCGAGTCTGGTAGTTGGGTAGGCTTGATTCAGTTCCTTACAACTGGCCTTGATGTTAGCTACATGTAGCCCTATTTTTCCAGATTTNGACTAGTGTTGGCCTGACCTGACGTGACCTGGGTTAAAACCCATGCTAGATAAATAAAACAGACAATGCACTGCGTTAAGCCTTACATGGTATACTTTACAGTATATCTTCGCATGAGCTAGCTGGCTAAGTAGCAGTATGCCCGGCAAAAGTATTAAAAATATTCAATTCTCTGAAAACGGAGATAAATATAGAACTCTTGTGGTTTATTATATATATTCAATATATCTGGCAGTGAAAATTGTTTTGTCAAAATGTCAGACTGCAGTGATAACAAATTGATTGATTTTAACTCGGAAGAATGAAACACTGGCCTGCATTATGAAGTTAAAGGGATAACAACTCTTTCATTTTTGACGGGAAAAGTGGCAGAGACAGATTTTCCTGGGGTAAACGACAATGCTTACACATTTACCTAAGATTAATCAATCCGTTTCGATATTCGAAGTTAGTCGATTTTTTAATTTGTTTTTCTCTTGTCTTATTTATTTATTTATTTATTTTTTAATCTTAAGAGTATTTCGGATGATAACCATCTATGAAGGTCCACGTGGCCCAGTGTCGAGCACAGATATCAGAATACTTGCGTTAACCGCCTTTTTGGTGGTAAAATTGACTTTATTATATTTCTATGGATGTGTTGTTTTCAATGTATTTATTGTGGACTTTTGAATCTCATTTGAAGAGCTGTCATACCCTTTAAACCACAGCTAGCGCGTAGAACAAAAGACTCGGCCGTGCTGTATTCGACATACAAGTTACGTGTATATCAGGTCCTAGCACCCACCACGGAACAGACAACAGTGCAAAAAAGTCGTTTCTCAAACTTTTGATATCATGGAACAGCATTAACCCCCGAAAAATGTTCCGTTTTCGAATTTGAACGACAAGTTACTCACAATACAGAATGTGAAAACGAAAGTTTAGAAATCTAAACTTCCAAAGTAAATTTCCTACCTTCTTTGACAATGACAATTTTCCTAATCTGTGAAGGCACATGAAGTATCAAGGTATCCTTATTATCATTACATGACGGGGAGAAGAAGTAGTGTTTTTTTTTCTCTTCTTTATGGGGGGAACTTCTCAGTATCTAAACTGTTGATGCTGCTGGTGGCGGTGGTGCTGCTGCTACTGCTGCTGCTCGAAGCGGCTGGGTTGGTCGAGGGGGCTATAAAGGCGTGTTCAGCCTTGTCCTCCATCGTGCAACACAGGAATAAGAGTGCATCCCCAGAGATTTAGATCGACCTATCCGGATCGACCTAATTCCCTGGGGGTTCACGCTAAATTGCAGCCAGCCGAGCGCGCACAGCAGTTAATTACCCCCTTACAGCTTTTAGTAGCCGGCTAAGCTGACAGTAATCTAGTGAGACTCCCAACAGAGATAGATCGATCTAAAATCTGTGGGAATGGGGTCTAAGACCCCATACCCAGAGATTAGATCGATCTACTTTAGATCGACCTAACTCCCTAACGCCGAGCGGGCACGAAAGTTAATTACCCCCTTACAGCTTGTAGTAGGCGGGACGGGCATTTAAGCCGGATTATCTGACAGTAATCTAGTGAGACCCCCCGCGGGGATAGATCGATCTAAAAGCTCTGGGAATGGGGTCTAAGGGGCCACAAGGGCCCCTAATATGTATGAATAAAATATCGCAAGGGCAGTGTAGTAGCCAATCAGAGGTCGTTGTTCAAGCCATATAAAACACTCGTCGCCGAGCTGTACGTGAATATTACTCGTGTGTTAATTGTTTCGCCTGTGGCTCTACAATCGTAATATTTCACGTACAGCTCGGCGACTCGTACTGTATCTATCGCCTAATAAGGCCATTAAGGCAAATTAAATTTTACACGCATAGTGCGTTCATGGGTACGCCTGCGGGACTGCTTACATCTAAAGTGTCATGCAAATTTGAACTGAGCTGAACCAAGGAGGGTGTCACACGAAGGCAAAACGAAAAGAAAATATGGCCGATCACGAAGTTTTGTACCAGGCGATAGTTACGGCACTTATTGTGGGTCTGTCATCTTCTATTATCTTCAGATTATGGAAATGGTACAGCATCTTCAGACTGCTCCCTCCTGGTCCTTGGGGGTGGCCATTTATTGGATATCTCCCTAAACTGAAGACGAACAGGCACCTAGTCCTAACGGAGCTAAGGAAGACGTACGGCGACGTGTATTGCCTGAAAATAGGAGTGCATAGAGCCGTCGTTCTGAATGGACTGGAGACCGTTCGCCACGCCTTAGTTCAACTAGGGGAAAACTTTGCAGGTAAGAAAGACACCTGTTGGGTTGGGACCTAGATGTCTTACATCATTTCAGTTTTTAAAGATCAAAGGAAACAGTTGTGGGTGATTTCATATCTATTAGTTTACTTAAAATCTTGCATCTTATATGTGGAATTACAGTCTGACTATTAACTGTTAGGTTATTGCTTTAGTAGCCTTACAGAACTTCATTTTAATAAATTGGGATACATTTTAGAATTCATTCAGAAATCTGATTGGTTGATTTGCATAGTGGTCAACAACAAGAGAAAAACTGAAACCATGCATCCATGACAATACATATAAATATTTGTTGTGATTTGCGAACATCTTTTCCATCGTATGCAGCTTTTCGTGTTGGTTGCAATGTGAAATGCGCCGTCTGTGTAAAAAGAGTCAAGGTAGAATAACTAACGTGTAGATTAGCATGCGCAGGTCGCTGAAATGTAATGAAGAATTGCAATAGACTTGTACTTCTAAAAGCATTTTATTTTTGTAATATTTAAATTTTTATTGTAGGACGGCCGAGTTTTCATACGTTTCAGTTCATTGAAAACGGTAAAAGCATGGCCTTCTGCGATGTTGGTCCTCGTTGGAAAGTGAGAAGAACCATTGCCTTAAACGGACTGCATGCGTTTTTAAAGGACAAGGTTCACCCTGTTGAGATTGCGATGACGGAAGAAGCAATATATCTGGTAGAGACGTTCTTGGGAAATAGCGGAAAGCCTTTCAATCCAGAAAACAGCGTATATCTTTCACTTGGTTCTATAACATTCGGTCTGTGTTTCTCGGATCACACGTTAGGCCGCAGCGATGCTGAATATCTGAAACTGATAAAAAGCGTCCGCGATTTTACTCAGAATGTTGCAGCGTGTAATTTGGTTGATATTTTGCCATGGCTTCGATATTTATGGAAAGACAAACTGAAAAGTTTCATTGAAGTGAATAACACACTGCAATCCATTCTAAGTCGACAAGAGAGAGAGCACCTCGCAACTTTTGAGGAAGGTCACGTGAGGGACATATTGGATTCCTTCATTAAAACTTGCCGTGAAATGAACGAAGAAATTAAACAAGAAGTGCAACTCAAAGACGAGCATATAACTAACATAGCTGCAGATTTACTACGAGCAGGCACTGTCACTGTGTCAGTGACGCTAACATGGGCTCTGCTCTACATGATAATGGATCCCAAAATTCAAGAACGTCTGCAAAACGAAGTCGATGACGTCATCGGCCCAGCGCGAAATCCGCGACTGGATGACATGGGGTCTTTGCCGTACACGGAGGCGTTCATCTTGGAGACGCTGAGGAAATCCTCAATTGCCCCACTGTCCTTGCCTCATGCTACCACCAAGGACACTACTCTGTATGGCTATCATATCCCTAGAGGGACGTGGGTGATACCGAATTTGTTTTCGATAAGTCACGATGAAAAAATTTGGTCGGACCCCCATGTTTTCAGACCAGAGCGCTTCTTAACGCCAGAGAACACGGTGAACGAGACGCTCGCCAAGAGTTTCCTCCCATTTAGTGCCGGCAAAAGGCGCTGTTTAGGGGAATTACAGGCCCGATGGGAACTTTTTCTTTTTGTGGCAACTGTTGTTCAACGTTGTCATTTTGAGAAAGTACCCGGGGAAACTTATGATTTGGCTCCTGAACCCGGGCTTGTTCTGCACCCTAAACATTTTAATATTATAGCCAAATCGCGTTAGTTCTACACCGTAAATAACCGTACTATTGAGACAATGATGGCGCTGTATTTTACTTGGGCATAGTTTACTCTTCCCCGTCGAGTAACTTGATTTATAAAATGCTTACAATTGCCCTTTGGTGTTTTAGCACGCTATGGCCTACATAGAAATATTCAACATAACATTAGGCCTATATATTGTGTACAGTACTTAGTAATATGGTGCCTTGCAGGTTTTTGAGGAGCATAATAAAGGCTTGGTCATGCAACGTCCCGAAGATAGTTTATGCGGCTATTTATACCTATCTATATTATTCATAAATATCAACATTAAAATGGCTCTTAGATACGCATATTTTACAAAATTAAAACTCGTGTTCTTCACATAAAACACATTATAATTTTCACATTTATCGTAAGATGCTGCTTGGATTAATAAAAACAAATGTGTAATTTTAATTTAATTTAGTCTATTAAAATAGACTTGAGAGTTACATTTTTTCATTTAAGTTTTAAGCACGTGAGAAGGTCACATACATTGTAGAGCTTTACGTATGGTGTGTATGTGTTCGTGTGTGCACAGTGGCAGATTTAGAGGGGGGGTCAGGGGGTCCTGACCCCCCCCCCCCCCTCCTTCGAATTCTGGTCCCCTGTTGAAATAAGAATTTTGACTAGCTGAATCAAATGATACCGTTCGCCGTCTAAAATACCAATGTTTATTTTGTCCCATGTTTAGGCCCGTGGGATTAAACAGGTGGAGGCCTGCAAGGAGTTTAACAAAATCTTACACATCCTCGAGACACTGAAGGAAATGTCCCTGCTGTCTCGGAATTGCGCAGTCAGCACAACTAACACAATAAGCGCCGTTTTAACCACAGCCAGTACGTAACACCTAACACATTGGACTTGACGGTGGCCGTGCAAGATGTCCACACAGTCTCCATTTTTACATAAAGTTAGGCATCCGCGGACCCCCACACCCTTCAAATAATCCTTGATCCGCCCCTGTTAAGAGGAAACAGATGTGATTTATTAATAGCAGTAGCTGTCATGCCAATATATTTAATATTAAATTACTGCTTACAGTGTTAATGAATGTAGCTTACAGATACATACAAGGTCATTTTTTTGTCATAAAAACCAACCAAATGCCAGCATATAGTTTCAAGTAGTATAACTAAGAGAATTACCAAAATGCATTGTTTAATTTTACCCGAAAGTGATGTTTGAACAGATTTTTCTGCTAGCGTTCTATGCTGTATGTCAATGGGGCAGAAAAGTAGGTCACAAAAGTAGGTTAAATTGACAACCAAAATTTTAAAGAAAGGAGCACTCTAAAGCTCTTTTATGGCTGATTGGGTGATTTATTCAGTTTATCCCTTGGCAGTCGAATTTACTAGAGTCTTATAAGAAACTAGTAGAAGTGGTTTACATGTGTTACTGGGAATCCACGCTCCACCAATGATCGGTTCGTATGTACCTTTAAGATGTGGCTGTCAGCTCAGTTCAGTCAAATGTAATAATTTTGTTCCTATGTTGAGGTAGTTGGTCATTTATAAAGTAGCAGACATGGCATATAGACATATTTAGTTACATATATTGTAAGCATTTTATTTGTATCAGTTTGACATAACGTGGCGTGTAGGTTTGTAAAGTAAAGTTAATTTGAATCATAGATTAATTTGTCATTTGTCAGTTATTTTCTTTCATTTAAATGTGTTAAATGTCTCTATATCTATCTATATATTTATACATATACCGGTATAAAAGTGCTCATTATTTAGTAGTCGTATAAGCATATGTTTTGTATATTTTTGCACATTTGAACCATTATCTCTGACATTATCTCCAACATCACCTCCATCTCTATCAAGTCAGATCACTTCAATACAGAATAAAGAGATATGAGCACAAATATTGTCGTCTCCTCTTGTTCCAATATCTTCAACGACAAATTTCCCAGCTTCTCGTAGAGTCACCCGTCACAGGGTCATTATTCTTGTTGTCTTTCTCACTCAATTGTCATCGCATAAACATTGACTCCTAATAAAGTAGGCCTATACATCTTAGAGCTACTTTTTAAGGCAATCTTTTGTATGTCAGAAAATGATGTCAAACATTAGTTCTTGCCAACATCAGTGCTATAATAAATCAATTTTTTTCTACCCAAGAATAACCCATATATTGAACATACAATGAACACAGTTTATTTGAAGACGCTTTCTCTATTTACAGATGTATAAATTAGCACGACTCTAGTACAATGTATTATTATCATATTTACATTACGAAAACCAAACTCTTCATTCCGAAGTTAATAGAATCAGCGCAGCGACAGACATTTTGTTTCATCTTTACATATATCACAGTGTTTGTCAGTCTAATAAATGCGTAAGTAATAACTTGAAAATCAAATAAATATTTCTTGATTTTGTAGTTACACCGCAATTTCCAGTCACAAGATCTAATGGTGAAAATGGACGATGATAATGGAGAACATGCGCTTTGATTAAACGTCAATATCGCTTTTTCTGCTTAATGTTCAATTACCTGTATAAAGTTATGATATACTCATCGTTTTTGACATATCGCTCATAAAAAAGTCCGCCTGAGCTTAAACTGGTTCGAACGGGACTCGTTCACACAAACCAAACCAGATCTGAACCGGTCTAAAATGGCGTCTCGGATAAAGTGTCCCAGAGTTTCTGGAACTCACCTCTGAGGTAACTATAGCCACGCGTCTAAATGTTAACAGAAAGTGTTCAACTGCTTGCGGCAGATCAACTCTTGGATGAATGCATAGGTTAAGAATAAGACGTACACTCCTACAAAACTGAACCCGATGAATTTGTTCAAGACGAATTTCGATCCCATGAAGACGCCAAGAGTTATCAACAAGACCAACAGCAGCAGAAACCCGAACTTCACATGGGGCACTATGTATAAGAATGTTTCCTGGAAAGGAGAAGGAATACTTCATTTGTAATAATTTGATATATATTTGTTAAAATAAAATTGAATTTAACCATGTACACTTGAAAGATGTCGACGATTTTTTTCACTAAACCTGCAAAATCGTTTCTTTTTTAATAAAGGTTTCTTTGTGATTTTCCGATACTGTAATATGCTTCACTAAGGCCAATAATTCATTAAGGTCACATATTTCGTTTTTGATAACCGTTAGGTCTTAATCATTCAAGAAAAAAAAAGCAACAGGTAAAGGGTGATGAATGACATGGTTGAAAGCAGAAGAGAGGCTCCCCCCCCCCCCATCTGCCCCCTCGCTTCTACACCTGTGCTATTGAAACAGATAATCCGGCAAAAAGTTAAAAAAAAAAAACTTACACCGGGCTTAACCAGATACACTGGCGCTCCACTCTGTATGATAACCTTGATAAGAAAAGGCAGTCCAATGCCCAGGTTGATGTCAAAGACATTAGATCCTATAGCGTTAGACACCGCCATGTCTCCGTACCCGTCTCTGGCTACCAAGATGGAGCTCATTGCATCCTGAAACGATACATTTATATTTGAGATAAAGGTAGATAACGGCGCAGTCAGACGCAGAGATAAACTTGACCGTCTTGAGAGGTATATAATGCAAGTTAGACTTTTTATATACTTTTCTGTTAATTTCCATATCCAAACCGGTTCATGGAATTGTTCTCTACACTCATTTCTTAGTTCCAAATGACTAGATTATGCGTCACTTAAATTTCGTAATAGAGATAGGGACTGTTGAATTTCTCTTGACAAAATATATCTTTTTACTCATTTGTTCATTCTTTGATGGCTAATACTTAAAGTATCTATTACTCTTTCTGAAACGGGCAATACATTTTTGTTTGTGAGCTTTATCTTTCTTTCCATGCTTTAATCGAATTTAATTTTCAACAACAATTTTATTTAATTTTTACCTTGGTCCTTCATAACGTACTGTAGTCGACGCTTTTCTGTTTTGTATTTTGAAATGAAATTAGAAATTACACCAAAAAGGGAATGGGGAACCAAAATTAATCCGGTACAATGGCTGTGTAGAGCGCGAGTTTCGATGACTCTCTTAACCAAGCCAAGGGCCTTAAAATCAAAACCACCAGAACTAACCGGCACACTCGTCCCAATGGCTATGAAGACGAGCCCCATGACAAAGGTATCGATCTCCAGGATACAGCCCATTCTTTCTACGACCACGATCATGGCGTAACTCAGCAGCCCAATCCACACAACCGACATCAAGAAGCTGAACCAGAACCATTTCCTAAGGGAAGATGAAAAAATAAATAAATTTGACGTCTATTACACAACCAAAATAGGACTACAATGATAATATTGCTACCCGTTCCTATGGGAATCTTCTAAGATATATAAAATTGTTAAAGAAAGTTGCCTATACTTTCTATGAAGGTTACATAAAAATAAAACGTAGGACTAAATTAATCAATATAATGAAGCCTCCTACACAATGGCAAATATCCAGTGAAAACCATTTGGATGTGCCAACACGGATGCGATTAACACAGTGTTGTTAACTTGTACAGATTGAAATTTAATACCTATCACAATCTTAATCTCTAAAGTTACCGGTGATACTTACTTGAGGTGATCTTTAGAGCAGTCGGGTATAGACCACGTGAAGAGGACCACAAAGGGAAAGGAGATCACGAAGAGAACCCATTTTAAAATGAATTTCGACCACAGCCAACATCCGCCCTTTTCTTTGGCTTCTGAGGAATCTGGGGGAGCCATTTTGAGAGGCGGAAGACACGGGAAAATGTACATCTCCGGCTCAATCTCTACTATTGATCCCTGGAAGATGAACGGAACAACGATAAATTAAATTGTAATGAAACAGAAATATTAGTCTATAATAAATATCAGTAGGATAACTCTTTTTTTCTTCTTTTTTGTTGTTTTCATCGCTGACGTCATCCTCATCACATTTGTGTTTGGCACCTCTTTCTCTTCCATTGAAA